TAGTGACCTTGACCTATATCTATAAAGCTGTTATAACAATGAATAATGTAAAGATACAAGGTCGACGTTTGCTGTCGGCTACTGGCCTTTTGTATTGAATTTAAATTATATATGACAATAGAAACATATACCCGCCAAGCAAGTACCAATGGATGATGTCAAGTTACATAATATGTACTTCAATCTGAAAACTTATCTTCATGGCAAAACTATAGACATTTTTTTAGTTTAAAAAGTTAGTTAGTTTTAACATTCCGCGCTGAAAAACAACCTTTTTAAATATCTTTCAAAAAAAAATTGATTAGTGTGTTCATTTTTTCTGCGTATTTTTAAAATGTTCGAATCTGAAACTAATTATTTTTACATTCCATCCACTGGATTTTACCATAATCTAAGAACATTAAAATATAAGCCTGGTACAGTGGTAAAATCATCAAGAGTTATTTGGGAAGAAGACTCCCTCATTGGGAAATATTATCAATTACCTACTTCTTCAAAAAACTGAATTTCCTCAACGGATCAATCAGTCATTTTAATGAAGTTTAGTTAGTTTAGTAAAATTAACATCACATATAAAGCATGAATTTGATAATTGATAATTTTATCTGCAACTGGCAAAATAATAATCGTTCATTAAACTTGCTCGTAATTTTGCATACGATAATTCGTAAAACTTTCTTTATTAGAACAAATCAAGAATGAATATTTGATATCTGATTAGAACATTTATTTTGGGCGTTTGTTTCAGGTAATTCTTTTCATTTTAAAATTATTTGAATTATTATCTGCTGAATTATCTGCTTTCCCAATAAATACTTTTCAGTAAGCAAAAGTGAATATTAAATTTAATTAGACAACAATTTTTTTTTGTTTAGAAGTGACATTTGTCGTTAGGTAATGCAGATATATAATTGTTCTTATTCTCAAGCTTTAACCATTTAACTTTCAATTCTTCAATGTATAGTTAAACCTTTTCAAATCATATTACAATCGCTTTTCATGTACCTGATTTGGTTATTCTGTTACAAATAATATAAAGAAACATACGGTTTGTGAGTTACACTTTTTAAAGCTTGGAATATTAGTTATCGACTTCATAGATAAACATTTATTTTACTTTGAATATTTACTAAGTACTTAAAATATACATGGTGTTGCAAAATGTTGTTCAGAGAATTCTAGAGTAGATTTTACATCCAAAAATACGAAAAAAATTATAAAATTAAAAAATATTATTAAATTTATATTAATCTTAAGTTAATGCGATTCATTTTAGCGACGGTGATGTTATTGACACTTACACTTAAAAATATAATACGGTTATTTCCACAATTTAGTGAATGTTAACAAATAAATGTTAAAAATATATATTGTTTTATAGTTTTTTTTATTCTAAATAACCGCAATAATCACACAGCACAATTCTAAATCAAATTAATTTCCTTAGATACCCTGAGAAAAATTACAATCTTGCAACACTGTACCATTTCACGCTATAACCGTAAAGCCTGCTTAGTCGAGGAAATAAAGCACTGAACCTCCGAAATTTTTTGATCAAGTCGTATCAAGATGGGGTTTTTGCATTCGGTTTGTAAAATTATGTGAAAAAAATCAACTTTGTATTATGTTTTTTGGCCAAATTGCATTTGTGCAGTTCAAAATGCATCCGGAAAAATGCATTTTTTAAACTCACTTAGAAAAAACATAAATTGGTTAATAATGCCTGGAATGGGCTCAGATTCCTGAGGATTTTCGAGGTCGCTGATCGCGAAAATCACCTTCAAATTGGTCCATCGACGACCTGGAGCTTAGGATTAATGATGAACGTCATCTCCGAGGCTTCTCCTGAATTTCACTCTTAAATGCAACCAGACTTGACACCCGGGGGTTTTTCAGATGGCTGATTCCTAATCTGGCGTCGGCGAGCACTTCCCGGATACTTGATGCACCGGAACCTAGACATGGACGTCATCACCGGGAGTTTTCCTGTAAAATTTTTGTAAACGAGCCGAAAATCGCATAAGGGTTTTTTTCGGGGTGCTCTTCTCGAATCTGGCGTCGGCGGCCACCCCCTGGACACCTGGTGTACCGGAACCTGGACCTTGAAATCGGCGTCATCGCCAGAAAAATCAATAAACAGTGAATTTTCAATATATTTGGGACTGCCGTTAATACTGCAATAACTTGTTTGGAATTGTTGATCTCATTTAAAGTATGCAGGATGAAAGTAGAGGGAATACATTGAATAAATGTCACAATGTATGCAAGTGTTGTTTCAAAAACAAATCAAAATCATTTATTTCCAAATCAATTGCCATTTCTAACCTACTCTTAACTTCAATTTAATTTAACTCAAATATAATCTAACTCCATTTTATCCTAATATAATCAACTATTAACTTTAATTTCAAAATATTCTATTCTTATTAGCCGAGTTATGAATTTTTTCTAAGTGACTTTAAAAAATGCATTTTTCCGGATGCATTTTGCACTGTACAAATGTAATTTGGCCGAAACACATAATACAAAGTTGATACATTTTTTGCACATAATTTTAGAAAGCGAATGCAAAAAACGCCATCTTGATACGACTTGATCGAAAAATTTCGGAGATTTCGGCTCTTTTTGTGCTTTATTTCCTCGACTAGCTACAGACTTGGAGATTTGCATCAACAGTCGGTATCGCGATACCGTATCGAGAGGCTTACTTCACCGTCTCGTCTGGAGGACTGTCTCATACTGTTCCGTGCTGTCTAGATCCGACCAACGACGGGAGACAATTCCTTTTTCATTAACCACATTTTGCACAAATGTTTCCCCTTCTTTTCTTTTTAATTAAACAAACATCAATAGTAACACTCATGGTAAATATTTATTTTCACGAAAGAAGCATCTTGGTGCAGTAACCTTGTACTAGTTCATATTGCAGTGTGTGTATCGATACATAGACCTAAAATAAGCCTCACGTTACGGCATATACCGTTTCTTACAAATCTCCAAGTCTGTAGCGAGCTTAAGGAGGTTCGATACATCTCTTGCGGGGCAGGCGGTGCGGGAGGGAAGCCTATGCTTATACACGGTAGTTTCGTTGTAGTACCAACCTTACATAAACTAATTTGAGCGAACTAAATATAATATATACGAATGAAATATATACAGCACATATTAGCTTGCATATATTTTTCGTGTTTAATGTACGGCAATTAACTTTTATTTGAATAAAAGTGTCTATTTATTCATTAAAGAGCTTGTAAAATTATTGGTGAAATCTGGCAACATTGCCGTGGCGTGGTGGCAAAAGTTGGATCAACTGTCATTACGTCAACTGTGCTTTGCCCGTATTCCGTAAACATGAATGAACATCCAAGATACAAAGGGAAAGTAATGATGAAAAGCAATGTAAAATGTAAAACAGAATGTGCGGGACTGATAAGAAAAAAGTAAAATGTGCAAACTGAGAATCCATATGATAACTATCAAGAAGCTCAGTGTATGTTAGTGAGATGTCGTCTTGTCAAATTGAAGATTATGACAGAACATCTATACTGTTCGTTTTGCAAAGAGATCCTTTCAATTTTTGTTTGAAATTGCTATTGTATTGCATTAGATCGCGAAAAATGTATTTAATATTAATTATTACTACTTATGTTTTCGCTGGAATAATTTTATAGTCTATAATCGAGCTATTCAAATATAGCGCGTCAGTCAACGCCTTAAATACAGCGTACAATGTTGCCATATTTCCTTTCATTGGATCAGATGTTTGTTGAAATTTGTCAAAACGTTATAGCTGCTTCCCTTTTGCAAGAAAAATCACATTAATATCACATGTGACGTCATGACTCAGTTAATTGTGCGTTTCTTTTAATTTTCCGAAGTGAGTTTGAACTGAGAATTTTTACCCCCACTTACTGCTATCTGCATTAGTTTGAGAGCTTGTTCACTTGGCTCATTTTGTGCTCAGTTATTTAAAGTGCGATTAGGCACGATTAGGTTTGTTTTTAAAAGCTGAAAGTTGCAAATAATATGTAAGTATTATGATTTATAACGTCTTTTCAATAATAATATTTCGCATTTAAGTTTATATATGGTTTATTTACATTTAACTCATATGGTCGTTCCTTTTACAAGATGAATCACAACAGAAACAACTGATGTGAGTACACTCACCTCACGTGTAATATGTACTCAGTTGCCTGCAAAAGGGAAGCAGCTAAAATATCATTCCATTTCTCAATACTTACATTGTAAGTGCATATTTTTATTGTTTTAAAATGTTTAGTAATATTTAATTCTTTAGTTACAATTTTATTTTCCCTATTCTAACCATTTTTAAGAGCAATATTCATGTTTGATTAAAGTTTTTTCCAAACTCGCATAAGAGCCTGTCTAAAAGAGTATAATTTTTAATATCATTTTTCAAAAAAACTATATTGGCAATCGATCTGATATTGTTACACGAGGCAATTGGCATATTTATTAACAGATTTTAATGATTTTGAAAACTTTTTTACCATTTTTTTTTCCGGTATCGAACCTCCTTAAAGTATTTTATTTGCAACGTTTGTTTAAAACAGTGGTGGGGTCGTTTTTAATACGCATTAAGGAGCATAAATCTAGCTAGCATAGCTCTGTGTGGTCGTAATAATAATTAACTATTTTCAATGAATGTACAGCAGTATAGTTAGACTTTTCTCCGTACCAAAACCTTACCTATTCATTTGCTTTGCACAGCTAAATTCTTTTGTACACCCTTGTCCGTGTTTGTCTGCGGCTCATTGGACATGCAGCGCACAGAAGTTATCAAAACAAGCAGAGTTCCTTCACTTCCTACTGCCCTGGTGCGACCGTAAGCAGCGATAACCTGACGTTTGTCATATTCAAAAGTTATTTATTGTTTTTTGTTTAAAAACCGGAGTGCGATCCGGAGCGCGGCACACCAGAGGCGCATCCAAGGCCTCGTCAGTCGCCACTACCTTCAGCCGTTTCATGTTTTTCAGGTGTCAGTCGCGGCGAGAATGTGGGGCCGAGCGCAACTGCTCGTGCTGCTGACCGCTCTAACGGCCTACGGGGACGACGACCACAGTGAGTTAAAGGTCGGCCGCTCCATCGACATTTTCACCCGCTACGGATACCTCAGCCTCTCCATGAAGGTATTTATAATTCAGTTATTTCATACAATCTATCCCCCAATCCTTGTATTTTTTTTGAAAAATTGTATCTGCCCACGTCCTTAAATTATCACATAAATTCGTTTTTTTTTTTGGAGAAAAACGGGCAAACATTCCTATTATTTTTAATTGTTTATTTTTATACAGGGCGTCCCGAAATGCACACGTCAAATGTTACCTGGTTCATATAAATTTAGGTCGTAGAACATTTTACTTTCAAGATCCTAACAATTTTGAAATGAGTATGTATATTTTTCAATATATTCGACTTGTATATTTTGGTTTCCAATAGCTTCCTAAAATGTGTTTTTCTTTAAGAATTTAATACAGTTTTAGTGCGAAACCGAAGCTTGTGTGTCACTTGTGACAGACGCTTAAATTTCTTTGGGGTGAGCCATACACCTGTGTTTTCAAGTGACAATAATAATTAACAAAATTGCAAATGTGGAAGTTGAAAAGAATATGCAACCAGCTAAAATGCAAAAATCGAATAGGAATAGAAGATGTCAAGATCATGTGAACAACTTATAATATACTTTTGTCAATATTGTACTAAACTGATTTTTTTTTAATAACTTTTTTTGTACATATATTCAAAACTTTTTAGTAAATGCAATCATATTACTATAATAAAGAATACCAGAATTAGTTTATAAATGCATTTACTAAAAATATAAGACTATACAAATAAGTGATACTCAAAAATTATTAAAAAAAAATTAAAACAAGTAAAACTCGAATATCTAATGTGTCACATGGTTGTTGTAAAAATATTTCATTTAGGTGATGTCGGGTCAAAAAAAACACATAAATCTCTTAAACTGTGTGGTATAGATTGATAAACCTTGGGGTAGTGGCCCCTAATTATGGAGAAAAATATAATGTAATTATGATCTTCTAATGGTAACATTGTATTCGAATTATTCAACTATGTCCAAGGAATATTTTAAAAAATAGTTATTCAAAAAAGAGTTAAGTCATTACCTCAAGTTTTATCTATCTACGTCAAATTTTTTAAAGAAATTTTTTAAATAAATCTGAAATTTCAACACTCTGTATCTCGAGAACGAAGTTTTCTAAGGATTATATGTATAAGAACATTTTTTTAGTTTAAGGTATTCTATCACCAGGTAATAATTTGCGCATGTAATTCGGAACACTCTGAATAATGGTTTCACACTTAATTGTATAACATTTTACTGTGTATACATACTATAGGAGTCGACTTATTAATATTTAACAATCATGCTTTAATGAAGTGTTGATAAAAAAAGTGAAAAATATATAGTACTATAGTGATAAATTTAATATTTAATGTTTTTTTTTGTTTGAAAATTTTTCAAATTTTTTACTGATATGGGGTGGAGGTGATTTTGAGTAGGAAGTCATAATACACCTTCAATTTCCATCTACCTCCTAAACAGCGCTACGTTTATTAAAATGTTAAAACCGTAACTGTTTTACTTCCAACTTTACGGCAGATTTCGCATAACAACTGCATTTACCTCAATTTTTGTAATAAAAATAAAACTGCTATGAATCAACGCCTACATTTAAAATATTTTTCGAGGAGCTATTAGAAAAGTTGCAAGAAATTTATTATTGGCAATAGGTATGCTTTTGCAAGCATACCTATTGCCCCCCCTCAATCCCGCCTATGTTGTTTGCGATCAGCTCGCGTACACCTCACAGACAGGTCGCGAGCACACGTTGATGTCTAAAAATTAAATTTTTGCGTTTTATGTTGTTTGTCACGAAGTTCATTCAGTGTTCCGCGTTTATAAATGAATGAATATGTCATCGTACGAAACAATCAAGATTACACTACATATATTGTTCAAGATATTCTCTAAATGTCAGCGAAATCATCTTCACAGACTAGGGAATGCAGGCGTGTTTAGAAACTTTTATCGTATATCGACTATCGACTTTAAGCGACCTATTTATCCTGCTAATTATTTTACACCTCATTCTTTTTTTTTGTTACTTCTGTATTTAATTAATTTAACATTCCACAAACTTTATTTTTCCGATATTTTCCAATAAGCAATATAACTTTCTCGTCACTCTATGAATAATGCAAAATTGATGTTAACATTTCAATTATCTACATCAAATTGAGGTTCGTCAAGAATCTTTATCAAGTTGGCGACAGTTGTCGGGAATTTTGACGTGAACGTGAACAAAGTTAAATGACGCTAATGCTACACGAATTGTTCGGGGTGCTTGCCGGTCGATATGCACCTTAATATGTAGGTTCGCTGGAAAGTTATTTTAAAAAGTCTTTCGGAAACGGATTAAAAAAATATGTTTTCATTTAAAAAATCTTCGATAGCGTTATGGCAAATAAAAAATAGAAATCAACGCGGCCGAACGATTTTCCCAAAAGAAAAATCTGACTGTTGAATTTATACGCTTTTAATTCTCGGCAATCATTTAAGGAAATGCAGAATGTAATTAAAATGCTTGTTGGAATTTTTGTTTGAGGGATTCTATGCCACAAATTAACAACAAAAGTTATAATTTGTCTGGAACATTTCGTTATTGACTGTATGTTTAGTAATTTTCTTTCCAAGCTATTTTAAATTTGATAATAATTAAAAGACAGCATTAGACTTTATCGCGTCTTGTCTCTGATAATTTAAAATTTCATCGCCTTTTGGTCATATAGTTTATCTTATATACAATTTTTTAACACTACCAACTTCAAAGGTATTAAACTAATCCAGTATCTCATGAAGTATACTGAAGGTATTGTAAAGAGACAACTCATAGACCAACTATTAAATAAATATATGTATATAAAAAATACGGCTTTACGCTCCAGGCTGCACTATTGAAAAAACACGTTATTGGCATGTTGAAATTATCTCGAAAATTATCAAACAATATTTCAAACCTTCAAAGAAGTTATTGACTTTTATTCTTGTTCTTAACTTATAGGTGGGTATCCATTTGTGTCAAATGCCCCGTAACGTAACACCGAACATGTTACGTTACAGCTAGTGGAAACGGAAAGTTGTTGCATGGCACGTGTAACAAATTTGGCACGCGTAACTAATCCGGGACGAACTATCATTTGTCGGTTTTTAGTCGTCGCATCAAAGGGATGCAACAGTACTTTCTGCCACATGTTGAGACGGGGTTACCCTGTTCGCCGTATCGTTGCAGTCTGTTTTCTACAGTGACAAGAAAGAGTGTGTTTTTCTGTGTTTTTGCCATGGAGTGGAGTAAAGAAAAAAATTTCGGAGATTTCCGTTTGTTATTCTTCAAAATTGTATGATGAATAAAAAATATATGACGCTGCTGCTAACTGCAATTGCAGTGACGAATCCATTATTGCAGTCAAGTTCATACTACGAGTTTATGTTCCTGTGTCGTCTCGTAACCTTATTTTGTTACGTTACGGAATAAATTATACGACCAAAACCACACATACTTTCGCAGCGAACCGTGTCACCTTTTGCAACAGGCCGTAACATGTTCGTTGTTACGTTACGGAGCATTGCCACAAGTGGATACCCGCCTTATGACAGGCCACTTTAGACGAAGACCAGTATGAAATATGCCACTAAGTATACATTTATATATGTATCTGTTTTATATTTTTCAATTTTTCTATAGGGAATTTGTCTTGAATAAATAATATTGGAATATTTTCTTCAATTGGAAAGCTGCCTATAATGGTGTCAGTGTTCTTTAACGCAGTTTTTATTATTTGAATTTTGGCCCTAATCGGAACTACCGAATTCAGGACAAATTGCATGTTGCGGGTACCTAATACCGACAATATTATTTATTATAAAACGAGCACTAAAATATGTAGGTTCTGATTTAAAAAATTTAATTTCTACACCTTGAAAAACAGATAAATACTAGATAGTGTACATAAATATTGTGATTAGATGACATATGTAAATGGATGATTATTAGAGCTCATTTACAGAACTACAATCATGGCCTTGGACTTAAATTAAAGTCTTACATGGTAACGAACATTTTTTTCAATATGACGTTAACTGTTTAGTGCTGTAGTTTAGAAATTGTTATTATAATATTAATAAACAAACTTTTGAATAGAATACTGATATTTCCAACAAATTTTTCATCTATTTTTTAGTTGCGAAATAAAATGCTATGTCGATAATTGAGACAAGCTCGATCATTGGGGCATTTACCTTACAACCTGTTTACGACTATGGTGTTAGTTCTAGTTCTTTGAATTTGTTCGCGGTTTCCCGACTAATAGTAGAACTTTCAAGAAGGAAACTTGAGTTGACTTTTAACTAAAATAGTTTTCGTCTAGAAAATAATCTAAAAAAGAGTTTTCTACTTTAACAAAACCCTCCTAAAATCATTCGTATAATCTGCTCGTAGCTAAAATCTGAGGATATGTTTTGTAACAACCTTTGTTCCAGAGGTAAACCTCTGTATAATAGTCATGTAAGTAATCACATTATTAATGGAATGATATAACATTTTCATTAATTTTGAACTCTCTTTGTCTTGAAAGCGAAGCTTTTCCAGAGATCCATTTATTTGAACTTTATTGGCTAGTTTAATATCCAGTATAGTTCTTCTGTACAGTTCAGTTAAATACTTCATTTACACCCTCTGTAGATGTTGAACGCATTTGAGAAGATATCGGTAGCAGTATGCAGGGTGTTAATGATTAAGGTTTGCCAAACTTTAATGGCGTATTCTACGGATGAAAATAATCAACTTTTGTCCTGACGTTTCCCTACGGAGATACAGGGTGTTTCAAATATTTATATGATTTTTACTGTAACTTCACTGGCAAAAAATATTTAGAGATAAAATTTAGGGGATGACATTTTTTTAGTAGGGACTATTTTTTCATGGATAACTTCCATCCCAAAATACACTCCAGTGGCGTAGAGGAGTAGAGGACCGTTTTTGAAAAAAAATCGTACGACATTGGCTTTTTAAATAATTTTAAATGTTTTTAAATTGTACAATTT